GAAGGTTCTTCCCATCGGAACGCTCGCACCACTCGGTCGGTATAGCCCACCACCAGCTCGCTGCGGCCATCGCCGTCTGTAACGAATAGAAACATTTTCATTCACCAATTTGAGGGTCAAATGGCTGCACAAATGCATCAACGTATTAGTCAAGGCTGTAAATGCTCTGCGCGGCAGCTGAACGAGTACCGATATCGCTGATGAGGATGACTCTGGTGTTAGCAGGGATGTGCTGCGACACACAAGGATGCATTGTCTCAAACGCTGACAGGAAAATCTCAAAACACATTTAGGCAGCCAGTTCAAGAGAGAATGGATCAGAGGAGCACAGAAGATGGGCTGGAGAAGGAAGGGAAGAAAAAAAGCAGGGAGTGGAAGAACTGAGGGAGGAAAGGATGGAGCCCCGGTGGGAGGAAGAAAGGGGGAGCAATGGAGAGAGGGGAGAAGGAATGGCAGAGGAACGACACGTGAGAAGGGAGGCGTGAAGGACGAAAGGAACATTGTCTGAAACGCTGACAGGAAAATCTCAAAACACATTTAGGCAGCCAGTTCAAGAGAGAATGGATGGGAGGAGAACAGAAGATGGGAAGGAGAAGATAGGGAAGAAAAAAGCAGGGAGCGGAAGAACTGAAGGAGGAAAGGATGGAGCGCCGGTGGGAGGAAGAAAGGGGGAGCAATGGAGAGAGGGGAGAAGGAATGGCAGAGGAACGACACGTGAGAAGGGAGGCGTGAAGGACGAAAGGAAGGAAACAGGGAGAGAGAAGGAATGAAGAAAAAGTGATGGAAGGAAGGATTAACAGCAAAACTAAAGTAGATACGAAGGCAGGAGGGATCCAGGAAAGTCAAGAAGGAAAAAAAGGGACGTCTGAAAAAGGAGTGGAGGAATGCAGAAACGTCGATTGAAGGATGCATGAATAACAAGTGAATCTGACGAAAGGAAGGTTGGAAAGAGGTCAAGTCTTGGGAAAAGAACATCAGAGGAGGCTGATAGGAAGTTGACGTATATAGTGCACGTGATTGACTTAAGACTCCCCCGTGAAGATGCGCTTACCGTGTCGTTGTCAGCATCTCCCAGGCAGATGGCGTGAGGAAAGAGCGTGCCCGAGAAGTCCAAACTAACACGCTGCACGTAATTCAGAGACCTCATAGCGACGAAATTTGGCCAAGTGGCGACTTGGACCTCAGTTTGGGTGCTATTTGAGCTTCCAAAGCGCGTCAACCTTCTCGGGGCTGCTGTTAAACTAAGCGACAGCAAATCAGAAGCTAAACTTGAATGAAACCTGAAAATAAAAAACAAACAAACGGCATCCTTGTTCAACACTTGTCCCCTAAGGTACAATCATTAAATTTTTTTTTTTTTTGTTTAATTTCTGTAAACGAGATTAATTTTGCCTCGTTTTGTTTTGTTTTTTTTTTTTTAACCGAATCGACGGACGCGCTCTTCCTGTGTACATACTCACGTGACTGGACACGGTATGGCAAAGCAGAATGGACAAAATAGCCTTGCAATCACATTTTTCTCCACAGGAGGGCGGTGTTCGCCATATTTTTTTTTCGGGCAGCATATGCATATCCATGCATATGCACTTCCTACTTTTTTCAAACATTTAAAGCACGGTGGACGAGTGGGTAGCACATCTGCAGAATTATCCAATTGGTGAAGATCACACCCTGCGAGAAAACAAGGTGTTTTTTGTTGACTCAAAAGTCCATTTTTGTCTAGTTCTGAAACAGCATTCAATAAACAAAGAAAACGTTTCCAAGTCTTTTCTCTGTTGCATAACAAGTTCAAGATGGCAGTTGTTGCTCCTCAGTTGCTATCTGGCATAGAAGTGTCACTTTTTCGGGAACCGCTCGTATCTCTTTGGATTGAAGTTCAGTCAGTGAGCTGGAAGGCGTTTGGGCGGGCGTCGAGGTGTCCCGTCCTTCACGACGGCACCCGGGAGGCCCCGTGGGACAAGTGCACTTCAAGTCCCCACAAAGCGCTAATTGGACTCGGCGAGCGGCTGAGAGCGCCCGGATTGGTTTCACAGGGGCCGGCCGTGGCCACGGCCTGAATAGAGGCCCACGCTCCTTTTCCAGACCCCCTTGCTGGGCCAAACACACAGGCAGGCCTGAAGGGGGTGGTGGGGGCGGTGTGT